ATCCATCCATCATCCATCCATCCATCCATCCATCATCCATCCATCCATCCATCCATCCAGGGTGTTTTCCTCCTCTTCCTCTCTGATGTTTAGCTGTTTCCTCCTTTATGGTCTGCAGACGTCTCACTCTGTGTTTGTGTAAACAGTCACGCAGCGTGGACAAGCAGCACGCCGTCATCAACTACAACCTGACAACTGATGAGCACCTGGTGAAAGATCTGGGAAGCCTGAATGGGGTAAACGCTCTGACACTGCTACACTGAGGCTGCTGTTTGCCTCTGACATCACAGTTCTTAACCAATCAGCTGCTAGGACAGTCTGTCTCTATTAGTTGATGATTTCCTCTCACTTCCAGTCTATTCTTTTTTCCCCAACAATTAAAGTTTTGTTCATCTTGTTTTCTGCAGACGTTTGTGAACGACCTGCGGATTCCCGATCAGACCTACATCACACTCAAACTGTGCGACATCATCCGCTTCGGATATGATATCCTTCCCAGTCTCCTTGTTTGTGTGTGTTTATATTGGGTGGGGCGACAGTGGTGTTGGGTGTTTGCCCGGCAACTGAAAGGTTGTCGGTCCAAGCCCTGGCTCTAGTTTCCATCGTCGTTGTGTCTTTGGGAAGACACTTCACCTGCATTACCACCTTCTGATGGTGGTCATATGGTGGCGCCAGCCTACGGCAGCCTGGCTTCTATCAGTGAGCCCCAGGGCAGCGGTGGCAGCTCACCACCATCAGTGTGTGAGTGGATGGATGAATGTAGTGCAAAGCTCTTTGGTCAGGTCCCCACCGGCCGTTTACCAGGAACTTCTGGAATATTCACCAACGTTCTGAGTTCAGCCAGACCTCATGGAGACATTAGTCTGATCCCAATATGTCTGACCCCCAATCTAACCAGAGAGGTTTATTTAGATTACCTGTGGACTAAAGGTCAGAGTTTAAAATATACAGGTAACGCTTAAGGTAAATATCAGGGTTATACTTAATGTCAGGGTTAGGTTTAATGTCAGGGTTAAGTTTAATGTCAGGGTTAGGTTTAATGTCAGGGTTAGGTTTAATGTCAGGGTTAGGGTTAATGTCAGGGTTAGGTTTAATGTCAGGGTTAGGTTTAATGTCAGGGTCAGGTTTAATGTCAGGGTTAAGTTTAATGTCAGGGTCAGGTTTAATGTCAGGGTCAGGTTTAATGTCAGGGTTAGGTTTAATGTCAGGGTCAGGTTTAATGTCAGGGTTAGGTTTAATGTCAGGGTCAGGTTTAATGTCAGGG